CGCTGAACCCAACGGCTCAGAAAAATACATTTTATCCTACTTTAAAGACCAAAGAAACCTGCGTGCTCACGTGGGCAAGGATTAAACAGGATCAAAAGATGGAGAACATTAGGAATGTTCCGGAAGCCATAAATAACAGCTGCAGAGCGGGGGCGAAGTGAGACCAAGCAGTGAGACCGCAGTTTTATCCTGCAGAGAAAAACTGCGGCACCGATGACGACAAGAGGCTGCGTTTTTGCGGCTGCAATCTGCAAGCCTCCCGACAGAGGCATCTAAACTCCACGTCCTTGTCGCAGAGTAGGGAAAAAAAGAGGGAGGAAAAAGATGCTGAATAATGAACAAAGCGTTCTCAGTTGCGCCAGGTAAGAGAAGAATCGGGCTGAGACTGAAGAGAGAGAAAAGAGCCAGTCCTTTTTCCCGACATTGCTATTCTATTCTGTATAAAGTTAGAATTACATCGCTGAAGTATTCGGAGTCAGGAAGAAGAGCGACGACGAGACCTTACAGAAGAAGCGCCATCTTTACTCTTGCACGTGCTCGTTCTGCCGGTACCATTTGTAGTTAAAGATTGCGGCATCTCTTGCAACATTCATTTACTAGGCCGTCCCTCACCGAGCCGCAGCCTTCCACAAACCGCATCCCTTTTCTAATCCTCTCAAACATTCCCGATGAATTGCTGCTGCTTATTCAGCCTCCTAAGCGCCCACGATATTGATGATACCCCCTGCTCCCATTTTCCACGAGCTGGACTCTCTGTCCTGGTTTATGTTGCCCTGCCTCCCCTTACCCCGCTATTGTGTGGTACACGGCAAAAATTGGGTCTACTTTTGGCTGATGTGTCGCCTGCCCTAAATCGCCACCAAACCCCGGCAGCACTTGGCAGAAGCCGTGACACACATTCTCCAGACAGGGTGGGGCCGCGCTGGTTCTTCTACTTCCTGTCTGCAGCCGGGCTGCGCACTTCGCTCACATTTTGGGGGCACGTGTGGCCGCCCATCTTCTTGCTTTCAGCCAGATAACAAAAAGCTCTGGACGCTGTATTTTCTCCAGCCTTTTTTTTTTAAACATCCGTAAATAATTTCACTCTTTAATGCAGGAGCTCAAGATAGCACTCTCTCCCCCTATAACAGGTAGCTTGGACTGCCAAGGATTAAATATTCCATATTATTAGTATGATGCACTTAGGTATTAAGCGTTTCTGATGTGTTGGCTGGCTGTAAACTGTAATATCACTTTGCAGACTTCAGCTTAGTTTAATAAAAACTTTGTACCTGGTTCTAGTTTTAGCATGTCTTGTGAAACTAGGTATTGTGGATAGTAGGCTGCGATGAACAGCGAGTGCTCTTCTCCACAGCCATATTAATATGGATTCCTCCAGTCTTTGAGCTGGCTTGTGTTTCTTCAGCAACTATTCCATAGCCTGACTCACTAACAAGACTTGAGAATAGTCCTGTCCCTAACAGAGTTACTGTGTAGGACAATTTAAAGGCAATAATTGTAGACTCCTTTAGCTTCATTCCAACTCCCTCTCAGCATCAGCAGCCTATAGGGAGAGCCATCATCAATAGCTCAAAAGTATGGCAGGGCAGATTTGGACTAGTGTAATGTGAGGTTTTTACTTGGCAAGGTTGGGATAGATCCATTGAAACAGGTGCTTAAGACTCCAAGGACTTCAGATAAATAAGGTAATTGTAGAAAAGGTAATAAGCCATGGGGGGGGGGGAATTCCAGCACCTTAAAAGAACATTTAAATGTGATTTACTGTAAATTGAAGTAAAATATTGTAATATTGGACATATTGAAGAATATGTTTGAACGATGGACTCTGAATTAATGTTAAGAGTATCTGTATAGTGCTTGAAAAATGTTACGAAAAAGGACTAAGATATATTTGACAACACTGAGACTGATCTGAATAGGAATTTAAATACAAAAGATGGTTGTAAGAATGATATTGAAAAAGATGCTCTATTGGATATGCAAAAGAAGCTGAGTGATGTCTAAACATTAAAAGGAATATACAAATAGCAAACTGAGAAAGTGGCCTAGATAATTTTTTCTATATTAGAGTTATAAAGGGACTTAAATAGGTAAGTTATTTCTAGTAACACTTAATGGACCTTTGTTAGTTACGACTGAAATTACGAAGTTTTAAGGATTTGTTTATAAAAAATGTGATGTGAGAAGAATAGATCATTTGTTTTATTATTAAAGGTGATAAGTTATTAAAATTATTTATACTTGTGATAAAGGGAAAAGTAATTTCTTTATATATTTAATTTTCCTTACTATATTTTTATTTCTTTCTACACTTTCTATTTTTATAATTGTATTAATTTGCATTAGTTTTTTATTTTTCTATTGTATTGGTTGTATATGTGTGAAAATTGCTGCAAAATAGTTGTGTTGACAGGTTAGTGAGGCAGAGGAAGATTGTGGGGTAGAGCAAGAGGAAGCTCACATAACTGTATTAAAACAACTGTCTCTTGCTTCAGTCTGGGTTCCTTGTCCATGTTACCAATCTGCCAGTGGGATATTTTTAACCCAAGTCTTGTTATGTGGGAATAGAAGGGGAAATTGTCAATAGTCTTGCCAGGTTCACCCCAGCTCCCAATTATCTCAAACATGCTCAGCAGTCCTTGAAGTGACCATGGTTGACAAAACTTAAATGTATTTGATAGAGTATGCAAAATGACTGAAGTAGACAGAGTTCCCCGCAAAACAGTAAGAATCCTAGTCCTACAAAACCAAAAGGGAAGAAATGTAATGTATCTATTGATAATATGTTGTTATTGCATTTATATTCACTTTTACTCTTAATGCTCTAGTCAAGAGTTCCTCCCTGAAGTCTCCCTCATTTTCTCTATAGCAATCATGTGAGGTAAATTGAACTGAGAGAAGATGATTGGCCCCAATTCACCCAATAAATTGGACCTGAGTGGGGATCTGCTCCTGGATTATCCAGAGCATTACATGGTTATGTCCCTGAAGTTGCCAAGGTCAACTCAGTTATGTCAATCCAAATACCTATATGTATATTATGCATATATGAATTCAATAGTCCTTGAATAATGAATATTTGGTTTTAAAATTCCTTTCATTTTCTTTTGTGCAAATAATTTAAAAAATTAAAAGGACAGGAAAATGTACACTATATGTAGCATGATAATTCTTTATCATAGTATTGTCAATTTGTTTAAAAATTTCCAGAGCTACTCCAAACATTGGAAAGGGAAAAGTGATAAATATATTGGCGTAATATATATGTATTTAATTGCCTTTTAATAGTTAAAATTAGTTTTTGCCTAGCTCAGCATTGTTCTTTGTTCTGTAATGTTCGCCATGTAATTTTGGAGCATGATCAAATGCATTCCTCTGCTCAAAAATATTTGAAGAACACAAATATACTCTCTATTTGAACAACACTGGTATACCCATTATGATTGTATATAAATGAACTAGTGTAACAACAAAATATGTAACTCAAATGAAAATAGAAACAATTTAGTGTTAAATAAGTCCTGTCATATTCCTATAATTATGGTGAACGTGTGTTGGACACAAGTCTCCCATACCTATAGGTGCATCACTTTTTATATATTATAGACAACCTACCTAATTGCATTTAGTAAGTTAATGGCAGCTTACTAGATAATATTATCATTTGCTTTCCTCCATGAGAGTAATAGATCTTTAAGATCTAAAAAGAATCTTTTTAGTAAGATTATTTAGGATGAAACAATGTATTTATGTTAAAACATGTCATATTTATGTATTTAGCATGCTGTTTTAATATATCCCTTGGGGTTTTCATTCCAAACATTGTATGACTGGCCTTTTTCAATACAGCTAATTTTACATCTGTCTCTTTGCCTTTTAATTATTTTATAAAATATTTACTCCTATGACTGAGACTCAAGAACAAAATTATTGGGATTTTACTGAGTTATAGCAGAACAGTATACATATAGGGTATACACCCTTTGGATGGCGATATGGGCAGCATACAAATTTAATAAACACAATCTGAAAGAAATCCTAATTTCAGAGGAACTTGTTCCCAAGTAAATGAATTCAGGGCTGCAGTTTCACTTTTTAAAAACAAAACCAGTAGATTTCTGTTAAGAAAAGACCTTTGTTTTTCGCTTAAAATTAGTGTGTAAAAATGGTTAAGTATCTAATATAAATGCAATTCTTCCAGTCTGGAAAAAACCTCTGAAATTAAAGACGATGTGGCAGAGATCATGGTCTTTTCTGAAAATTTTATGTAGATTCATGGAAGAGAATTTAGCTTAAATTGTGGAAGGTGGAACTGTCATTCTGGCCAGCTAAGCTAAAGAATATTTGGAGCTGAGCTCAATCACAGTACTGTACGTATCCATGTACTATCTGTATTTGTCAACAATATAGGAGTAGTTTGCTCTTGCCGTCTTCCACGATTTTCTAGCTTCCCAATTTAGTTGGCTCATTCTACATATGTCTCAGCCCTTAAATAAGATGTTTCCAGACACATTGGGACATATATGTCATGTTACATTTATGTATTTAATTTCAGGGGCCGGAGTTGTCCCAACCTGAACACACTAATCTGTACCATTGTTGTAATGCAGTGCTTTTTCTTACATAATGTAAAAATATGACCATTGGGTCAGTATCCTACCACAATCCAGGAATATGCAACAAATAAAGACAGAACACATTCATCTCTAGGACAGGGAATGCTTTTTATTCACAAACCCCAAACCGTAGTAGATGGTTTGGGCTTGTAACATTTCATGTTTTAAAGCACAGATCAGTTATTGTAGGGATAACAATGGTATCTGAATATGCACAAATTAACCGATCAGACCAAAACCTGAATGTTGTTAAATAGCTGAATATTCCCTGTATGAGCAGCACCATTGTGACATTTTGCTTTAGTATTCCTCTCCTTCCTCTTCACCCTCTCCTTCAACAGAATCCACACCCACTTCCTCATAATCCTTCTCCAGAGCAGCCATGTCCTCCCGAGCCTCTGAGAACTCTCCTTCTTCCATCCCTTCCCCAACGTACCAGTGGACAAAGGCACGCTTGGCATACATCAGGTCAAACTTATGGTCCAGGCGGGCCCAGGCCTCAGCAATGGCTGTGGTGTTGCTCAGCATGCAGACTGCACGCTGCACTTTGGCCAAGTCGCCTCCGGGGACCACGGTCGGGGGCTGGTAGTTGATACCAACCTTGAAACCAGTGGGACACCAGTCTACAAACTGGATGGTACGTTTGGTCTTGATGGTGGCAATAGCAGCATTGACATCTTTGGGAACAACGTCACCACGGTACAACAGGCAGCAGGCCATGTATTTAC